GGTCAGCCAGATCGTGTCCGTTATTGTGGGGTTTGGTTGAGTGTTCAGTGTGTAGGCTTCAACAACATGACTTCGGGGGCCGGCTGGGGTTTGTGTCCGATACTCTACCTTAAACACCAAACCACCCACATACCTTCAGTTCTTTGTGTGCTCTCTACATCCGCTGGTATTCAACTGATTCCTAAACCCCTTAATCTACTGGAGCTCCAAGGTGAGAAAACCGATATTCCTACTGCTTCTTTTGCCGCTAGTACTACCACTGTACCACTACCATCACCACAACCACTACTACTAGTACTACGGCTGCCACGACCACTACAACCACTACCACCACCAGCACCACCACTAACCACCACGACCACGACCCCTACCACTACTATTACTACTTCTGCATCTACTCCTCCTGCTGCTGCCACAGCTACGGGTACGGCCAGAGCTGCTGCTACTGCTTCTGCTAGTCTGTGGCTACTGCTACAGCTACTGCTGTTGCTGCCGAAACTATTGCCACGAGTACTGCTAGTAATTGTACGCAAGTACTAGTCGTAGTATTAGTAGTATTAGTAGTATGAGTAGTAGTGGTAGTAGTAGTAGTAGTTGTTGTTGTAGTAAGAATAGTAATCGTACTAAGAGTAGTGGTATTGCTACCAGAAGTCAGGAACTAATACCTATGCTACTATACTGCTACTACTACTACTTCTCCTACTACTGCTACTACTACTACCGGCTACTACTACTTTTTCTTCTTCTATTACAACTACTACTTTCCAATTACTATTTTCACTACTATGTTGCTGCTGCTACTGTGGCTACTACCACCACTACCACTACTGCTACCGCTACCGCTACTGCTACCGCTACCAGTACTACTACCACTACCACTGCCACTGCCACTGCCACTACCACTACCAATACTACTACTGCTGCTACTACTACTACTACTACAACTACTCGTGTGGCTGCTTCTATGGCTAGGGGTACATGCCTACAGCTGCTGCTACTACCTGCTGCCACTACTACCACTACTGCTACGACTACTACACTACCACTTCTACTACGACTAATTCTGCTACTGTTACTGCTTCTGCTACTGCTGATCCTGCTCTTGGTTACCTCGACTCCTCCTACACCTACCCCTGCTGGTACTCCTAATTCTACCACTGCTACTGCTGCTGCTGTTGCTACTGTGCTACTGATGCTGGAACTAGTACTAGTACTACTGGTACTAAATTCAGCACCAGTATCAGTACTAATACTAATAATACTAGTTGTACAACTAGTGCTAGTGCTAGTGCTAATACTAGTACGAGTACTAGTACTATTGCTAGTGCTACTACTACTACTACTACTGCTGCTGCTACTACTACTACTGACTACTAGGACGACTACTACTACTAACTACTAGGACTACGAACTATTTACTACTACTAGTACTACTACTACTACTACTACTACTACTACTACTGCTACTACTACTACTACTACTACTACTGCTACTAATACTAATACTTTTACGACAACTGGGACTACTAACTAACCAGTACTACTCCTACTACTACTACTACTACTACTACTATTATGATTATTACTACTACTACTACTACTGCTACTACTACCACTACCACTACTACTACTACTACTACTACTACTACTACTACTACTACTACTACTACTACTACTACTGCTACTGCTACTGCTACTGCTACTGCTACAACTACTACTGCTACTGCTAGTACTTACTGTTGCTGTACTTTCATCCCAGGAAGTTGGTCGCGACGGTGAAGGCCTCTCCTGAGTCGAAGAAGACGATTGTGAATAACGAGAATGCCTACGTGTTGCCACCTACTGTTGCTTGGCTCAACTCGCTGCATCGGTGATTTCTTTGAAGTTGTGGTTGCTCTTTGGTCCTGGAAGATTCAAGATCTTAGAGCTGGCATGTTAATGAAGTGCTGACGAAGGCTTGCATCTCATTTCATACCGTGAAAGTTGTATGAACCCTAGAGGAGAAACGTCATTCAGCCCAAACGAGCTCTGTGATCTATCTATTTTGATGAAGCACGGACGGTCCTATAGTGATGCTGTTGCTTCGGAACAGGTTGGTAGATACTACCTTTAAACGACATATATGTGCTAATTCAGCCAGTGTCTGTGCCAAGCGTCCCTCGCCCAGCCATCCCAGGTACTAGCCAGCATGAAGTCGGTCTCGAAGGTGGAGACGAAGCCCTTCCTTCCGAGTGTTCAGCTGCTGGGCTCTTTAACTTTGGTGTGTGCTGACTGCAGGCAAGTTTGGGAATCGGGATGTAACTATGTGGAACCCTGCCCAACAGCTCCAAGGTGGAAGTGTTCAGCTCCCAATGAAGATGAAGAAGGGGATGATCCTGGGGAGAAAGCGGGAAAGAAAAAAGGTCTTCGCGCCAAGGCCAAGAAACAAAAGGTGTGCAAGAACAAGCGAGCCAAGAAGCTCCGGAGAGTCAAGAAGCCACTCCAAGCAGCGTGTGTCGCGAAGACTCCAAAGGAGAAGGAGACATGTGCTGTAAAGGAATCGGCTGAGGGGCCTACGAAAGCGAAAGCGTTCGGTCGGTATGTTCCGGGTCAGTATCGGGCCGCTTGGTTGTCGTACATAAGGGACATGAAGCAACACTATGGCTGCGACTACAAAACTGCCAATGTTTGGTGGAATGAGAGTGAAGAGCGTGCCGAGTTGTTGCGAGAGATGCCGCTGTCTGAGCTTCGTCGGCGACGATTTATCTAGTCGCCGTGCAATTCTTGCAAGTTAGATGATGCATGTAGCAGCTTTTCATCAAAGCTTTTGGAATGCAAGTGCAACTTAATGAGCTGCCTCTAGTGTGACTCTGCAAACATGCTGCATGAAGAAAATGACGTATGCTGAGTATTCGTTTTGTGCTCGGCCAAATTTCGCTGCCAGTGCAAATGTGCTTCGAGTCTTGACTCCATTGCTCATATGTGCTGTTCAAGCTGGAGCAGTCAAGTGATGTGCTTGGACATAGATGCGGAGTTTGCATTCCTGGAACCACTGTTGGCCTGGGTGCCAAGGATCGAGGGCTGCTTGTGTGTGGGGAGGGGCGGGGAGTTGCACTCTTCAAGTGGGTCTTCAGATTGGGTTTGTATGTGCAAAACGACTTGTTGTGCAGATTTGTTTATGTCTGGTTCTGGTAGCTGAATTCCGCACTGCCTCCGAAGGATGACGAGTACGCCGAGTGCATTGGCCGTGGTGCAACCGCTGCTGCTTGTCATCAAGTTATACCGTTTGCAGTTGCGCTTGTTCTTGCATGACAACTGAAGACCAATCATGATCTTGCTGTTCTGAGTCTTCTGATGGTGAACAGGTAAGAATGTAATAAGTACTCTGTTAATCTGTGGTGTAGTATCTCAGGCCCAAAAGCGCGAGTGATCGTGAACTTCCCCGATTGGTGTCCTGAGCTGCGCCGACTGCATGTACCGATCCTTTCAACTTCATTTCATTCGTGTCACGGAGACCATGAGGTTCATTCTGTGCAAGGGAGAGCAGTGAAAGGAATGAGGGTTTTGCTGTCATATGACTCTGTTTGCAGTGCCTTGGGAAGCCCTCTTCGTGCATACTTTGATTTCGACAGACCCATGAAACAAGTCGTTTCATCATGCGTGTTATGTGCTGGTGTCTGCTGCAAGTTCGGGTTCAGTGTCTGGTGTGAGATGTGCTGCTGAAAGATTGGTCTGTGTCGAGCGCTTAGAGGCTTAGAGTTGTGATGCTGCAAGTGCACCATTAGTTTTCCGTGTGAGTTCCTGTGTTTCTTGTACTGGTAGCTGCAAGCAGAGCTTCGGCAATTCAGAGAGCCATGGTCGTAGCAGAGCTTTTGCATTGGCGTGCCCCAATGCTGCTCGTCATGGTGAATGTTCTCATGAGCTTCATGTCTGTCTTGGACCAGAGACAGGAGTGGGGTTTGCTTCTGGACTGATCTTATATATTCTGATATCGGTCCCATTGCAATCGGCAGGACAATGACTTTGTGGAACTGTTTGCTGGTGCTGGAGAGGTCTCGTCTGGTCTCCGGGAGGACCATTATGTGCTAGTCTAGGGTTGCTTAGTTTATGCTGTTCCCTCGCATAGTGTAGGACTCTTCCAAACGAGTCTGTTGTTCACTGGGAGGCTGGAGCATCGGGAGCATCTTTTGAGATCGTGGACAACCCAAAGGCCTTTGATCTTACCCAGCCGGTTGGTTTTGCTCTGGCATTGAACGAGGTTAGACGGTTGAAGGCTGGAGGATGCTGTGTCATTGCATTGTGCTGTGAGTCTTTCTCCTCGATGTATCTTGCCTGATAGTTAAAAGATGTCAAAAGGTTCTTTGCTGTCTTTAGAGCTAGGATGCACTTGTGAATGGTGAATATCTCCTCTAGCTAAGGTCTCGATACACAAGTGGTCGCACTGTGATTCAGCCCCTGGGAAACAAAGGGTATGACTTTGTCAAGAAAGGCAACCTGCTTCTATGCCGTGTAGTTCTCCTCATCCTCGTTGCCTCCTACCGGGGGGCCCGGTGGCTGCTGGAGCAGCCGCATGGCTCCTGTCTTTCTGACCATCCGCGCTGGGACTGGTTGATGACTCGGATTTCAGAGTCTGGGTGTATACCTAGTACTGTCTTCGGTCGGGGTGGTATATAAGTATGTAATGCATGCTGCTTCGGTTCTGTTGTTGTCATATTGTAGCTAGATTCTGGATATCTGAGATCTGGCGTGGGCAGTGGCATATGGCAAATTTTGGAGGAGTCAGCCCGAAACGCCACTTGGGATGGAGCAATGACTTCTACTTCATCGACTCCATCATGAAGCAGGGTGGTTATTTATCCCCTGAAGCCAGGCAAGCCCTAGGACCCACCAAACTTGTGAAAAGGGGTGTTTCAGCCCTTGGGAAGTCAACCTATACCGGTGTCTCGAAAGCACTGAAACAAAGCCAGAGCTTGGGCTTAATTTAGTTTGGTGTCAGTCTGTGTCAGCGACAGCTCATGGGTATGAAGTGTGTTGTTTTCACAAGCTCAGGAAGTATCCCCGTGGCTTTGGGGTCAAAATCGCAGAAATTTTTCGGGTGCGACAGGATGCCGCTAGGCTGTTGTTCCTATACGGCTTGTTTCAAATATTGTTATATGTGGATAGGGTGTTGCCGGTGTTGGTCATATGAAGCTTCGTTTGCCCAGGTAGTTCTCGATGGACCTCTGGACCCCAGGTTTGTGGATTGGAAGAAAACCGACTATGAGTTGTTCCGTGACCATCTACCAGAGACTTGTGACGATCTATTTGAGGATGTTTCTCAGTGGCAATGTTCAAAAACTTCCTCCAATCATGAGTAGCTGGTGGTTGCTTTGCCGAGGCTGAACTTCCTGATGTTCTTCGCTACCTTCTTGGCTGCCACAAGAGCAAACTGACTTTCACAGGCCATTGGGAAACTCTGCTGAAAGATGTGTAGGTTGTGTTTTGTCGGTCCCAATATCTGTGAAACAGTTTGCACAAGCTGGGTGTGCAGATCAAACAAAAACTGATGGTCCATTCTGACCCACCCCAGAAATCGATGCTATTTGTCTAGCAGATAACTGCAGGGGGCCCTTGTGCAAGTGATGCTTGTGTTTGCCTGGTTGTAATTGTAGACTATCGGCACATGCTGTTTGCTGGCTCTGTTCACTCTGAAACACCCAAGGAAGAACTTCATTGGGCTGAGAGGGTGCCTGGGCTGATGTAAACATGAACATGTCGCTGGCTTCGGGTGACCCTGGCTGGGTTAAGGCACCTTCTGCAGTCTTCGACAACACCGGCTGAATCGCTCAAATGTTTTTTGGGCAGCCACGATGATGTGTGAGTCCGGCATATGTGCAGTTTTTGTATGCCAAATTCAATACTGGCCCCAGCCAACACGTTCTCCTTGAACTGGAGCTTGCATGTTGCTTTGCTGTGTAATGCTATGCCTGTTGTGTAAATACCGAAGTATGATAATTTGGGTGGCCTGGGATGTTTGGGCAGGGACAACGTTTGGTGCGTGATTTAGCGTGGTTTCGAACCTATCTGGCGTGATAATGGAGTTATTCCGCGTGGGATCCGTGATCGGGATTTTTGTGTCCGGCTCCAGTGCTAATTTGATGAAATTAGCTTAATCTGCTGTAGTGTTGCTGCAGGTACCAATTGTGGTGATGCATGCACAGTGAAACAGCAGAGTGATTTTCGTGATTGCAGCTTCTTCGTCAGGAGCTCCGGGATTTCAGCGGGATGTTCGGGATTTCACCGTGAGCTTCGGGATGTTTGGTGATTTCCGTGATTTCTGAAGTATCGGCAGGATTGCAGCGTGATTTTCGGGATTGTCGTTATTTCTGTGATGCGTGAAGCCGGCTCGGAACGTACCAGGTAATTTCGGGATCCTTTCTAGGCCTTGTGATTCTCGGGATTGTGCCGTTACTTCCGTGATTCATATGGGGATGCCAGGATCTTCGTGATATCCGTGATTTCCGGTATTGCTGGTCACTTCTGTGGTATACTTACTGAGTATTGGGATATGCAATATATGAACATAACAATATGTTTCGCAGGATTGAAAGTATAGGGTATGGTCCTAGATTCTAGTACAAGTGTTGTAAGATTCAGTGTGGTTTCGGAACTTCTAGTCTATGTGGTCTACCAATATTACACCGAGTTTCTGGGATTGGGTTGCTGTTTTAGTGTTAAATAGGTATTTGGCATTATTTGCAATGTGCAGCATGATCGGTGTAGTTGTCTGTGTTGGATACATGGTGTTGACACGATAGAATCGGTAGAATGTATGGTATTCCTGGTCTTGGGTCGATTGTATTAATTCTTCCTTCATTCTGTCGGCCGGTGGTGCTGACTACAGAGCTAGGTGATATCGTGTCGGCCGACAAAATTAGCGAGAATTGGGCTCTGTGGGTTTTGAGGCGTGCTAGAAATATTGGCATCTGGGAGTTGGCTTGTTGCTGAGGGCTTTAACACAGACTGATGTCCTACCGGTAGAAGCTTCCATGTTGCCCGAGATGTTTTGAATTGTGTTAGGTAGCACTGCCTATGTAGTTGCAAAGCTCCAATTCAGCCTGAATGTTTCGAGTGGTTCGGATCGAAGAGTATTCGTGCTGAATCTGCACTATACCAAAAACCTTTAGATCGACTAGGGTCCTTAACAACAACAACAACAACATACCCTCACCCCAAATCTGAAGCCATTGTCTTGAGTCTTATCAGTTTAGGAACAACCAGAAAGGCTCAAGGTGACGAGATTTTCGAGCTGTCCTCGAGCAGTGTAGCCGGCATCATCATGCCTGCGCGCAAGACCAAAGGAGTGCCAATGGAGAAGGAACCGGAGGAGGAGGAGGAGGTCGTTGAACCCCCTACAGAAGTTACGGATAAGAAGAAGCCGAAGAAGCCTGCTAGCAGTGGCAGTGGTGTTGCCGAATCCCTGAGGCGAGGTGTAGCCTTGGCTAAGCTACGAAAGACGATGGATGTTCCTTGCAAGCCAGGTGAACTCATCCCTGAGTGCACCAGGCTGCTGGAAGATGGATCGTGTGATCTCACAATCAAAGATTTGATGGTGAATGATTCTCTTTCCTATGAGGATGCCATTCGTGTGATGATACAGCTTAGAGCTGAGGCTGAGCCTTCCACTGCTCCAAACACCAACCCCTGTCCTGACAAGTCCAAGCCTAAGACCAACAGCACGAAACCCAAAGCTGATACCGAAGTGCCTGCTGCTGGGAAGAATGGGGTAAAGGATTCAGGTGAGGCTGAGGAGGTCTTGCAGCTTCCTTCCTTGAAGGGAGGGTCTAAGCAGAAGAAAGACAAGAACAACAAGAAGGGAAAGGTGGAGGAGAAGGCCCTGGAGCCCCAGGCTGGAGAGGTGCCACATGAGAAATCCAAGGGAATGATTGCAGGCGAGCCCCAGGATGAAAAGGTGCCAGATGTCACGCCAAAGGGAAAGGCCAAGCGGAAGGAGAAGGCCATGGAGCCCCAGGATGGAGAGGTGCCACAGGTCCCACCGAAGGGAAAAGCCGCTCCAAAGGAGACACATCCCACATCGAAGGGACAAGCTGGAAAGGCCAAAAAGGGGAAAAAAGCACTGGAGCCCGAGGTTGGAGAGGTGCCGCATCCCACCCCAAAGGGAAAGGCGAACAAGGCCAAGAGGGGGGAGAAGGCACTGGATCCCGAGAGTGGAGAGGTGCCACATCCCACACCGAATGGAAAAGCGGGAAAGGCCAAGAGGGAGGAGAAGGCACTCGAGCCCCAGGTTGGAGAGGTGCCACATCCGAAGAGGAAGGCCAAGCGAGGAGAGGATGCATGCAACGAAGAACCTGCAAAGGAGGAGGGTGGCAAGAAGCGCGCAGCACAGGCGAAGGAACCCACTGCAAGCAAGAAAGCCAAGACAAACGAGAAAGCCTCGGAGGAGCCACGTGACAAGGACCAGGAAGAGCCACGTGACAAGGACCAGGAGGAGCCACATGAGAAGGACCAGGAGGAGCCACATGACAAGGACCAGGAGGAGCCATGTGACAAGGACCAGGAGGAGCCACATGAGAAGGACCACACGCTGGAGGGTGAGACCGCGGATTGTGATGGGCTGAGTGACCATCTCGAGAAGCTTCTTCAGGAGATGGATGATGATGCCCCTGCTCCTGCTGAGCCTGCTGAGCCTGCTGTGCCAACCCATCGAGTGCGAATCAAGCGCAGCGATGCTGCCATTTTTGGCTCCCCAGATGCAAAGGCCCATTCCGAGCCCTCAACAAGTGAGTCCAAAGCAGCAAGAAAGCAAGCAAAGAAGGAGGCAAGGAAGGCCGAGAAGAAGGCAAGGAAGGAGATTGCAAGAAACAAGCGGGCGGAGGAAAAGGCCACCCACGATGAGACGTGTGCGGAGAAAGAATCCCAGGAGGAACCTGGGCCAAAGGAGGTCTCGAGGTCAATGAAGGAGCCCGAGGAGACCATGCCAGGGAAAGCAAATGCAAAGGCAAAGGAGACCGATCGACCCCAGAAGGCCCCCGAACGCGAGCGAGAGTGGTCCCAGGATCGTCAGCCAGAGACGCAGGACGGTGGCTGGTATCCTAGTTGCAACATGAACCTGAATCCTTGCTTCCTTTCTTTGACACATAATGAACGTCTTGGTTTCAAAGCATGTACCTGTTAAAATGGGTGCTTCAACATGAACACCATCGTACCATGACAAGCTCCAACGCATGCCCTAACCTCGAAGCCGAATTTTCTTCATCTAAGGTCGTGTGCTTCATTGGAGTTGGGACAGAATGCCCTGCGATCGTTGAAGGACCTTCAACCCTGAGGCCCTAAACCCTACAATTTGGCTCTAAACCCTGTGTGTCCTTAAGGAAACCCAAACACTAAATGTCGAAGGATCCGAACCTCGTCGACACGGTGTCGACCATCGGTGCCACTGCATCTGAGCTCCTGGAGTCGTTCCTCGGATGGCAGAACCATAGCTGGTTCCCACCCCGTCTAGAGTGTAGCCTGAACCTGCTTTCTGCACCAGCTACTGTAATCTTGCGTGCTACAAGTCTGGATTCTGGGTCTCTGGTATGCACAAGATCACCTAGAAAATAGAATAACCAGGCCCTGGTTAGGTTATGTTGGGGGCTCGAAAAACTTCTGAACCTGTTGGGCTTCAGTTTGTAGGCTGCTTTTGAACGCCTCTGCAGGTTCTATAGGTGCTATCTTTTGGGCCCGATGCAGCCCTTGCAAGTCTGAACGTATTGCTAGACTGTTCCGACCACCATGCTTAAACCCCTCAACACCCAGTTCATTCAGGCCAACTCCAAAATATTATAAAAAGCCCTCAGCTCGTCAACCCACGTAAACCTCCTTTGCCCCTCTGCCCTACACCCAGAAACCCATGAACCCCCCAACCATGAAAGCCACCATACCCGAAGCCCTTAAAGTTGGGACACCCCTAAACATCGAAACTAAGAGCTACCGTTACTGTTTGGATGGGATCCATGGATCTGTGACTGAGGCTTGGCAACTCGGCTTCTCAAGTCGAGTCTGGTGATGTCACACAGCTCCTTGGGGTTGTGGCCAAGCTGCAAGAACAGCTCAAGCAAGCTGCTGCAGCCAGTGCAAGCAAGAAGAAGCCAGCAGAGAAGTTGCCGGCGATGCCTGCAGGGGATGAAGGTGCTGGATCAGATGGTGCTGATGGCTTGGATGGAGAGGAGCTTTCTGATGCCGAAACTCATGAGAGTGATGAAAAGGAAGAGGAGCAGGAAGATGGAAAGGAAGAGGAGCAGGAAGATGAAATGGCAGAGGAGCATGAATCGGAGCAGGGAGAGGAAGAGGATGAGCAGGAAGGGAGAGATGATGTCCATGCACCCTGCCCGCCAGAGTCCAAGGAAGATGATGGATCAACTAGTGATGACGATGATGACTCGGCTTCGTCGGAAGCCGCTGAGGATTCTGAGGCGGAGGAAGCTTCCTCTGCTGTTACTCTTGCTGCACAAGAGAAGGCAAAGCAGGCCGTCAGGCTTGAAAGGCAGGCCCGTGCGATCCAAGCGTCGAAGCGCCGGGATCCAGCATCATCGGTGCCGCCAGCTGCAGCCTGTCCTGAAGGGGAGGCGGTTGTGGTGAACTCCACGACGCATAAGAAAGAATATATGCGGTTGGATTCTTGGCTGAGTTCAACTAACTGACTTCTGTGTTGTAGTGTCTCGTGAATATTTTGAACACAGCTTTGCTTGTGTCTGTATCCCAAGAAGCGGCTTATCGACTCGGGAGCGCTTGCAGAGCGGTTCCCGCAGATGCACGCGTTGTCTGAAGGTACGATCAAGGCCATCGCATGGTTGTTTCACGGGATTTGGGTTTCTGGTGTTCACACGCGAGGCATGTGGTCTTATAGCCGGCTGTGTCATGCAATAGGAAGTTGGGAAGGCAATACAACAAGCTCTGACCCTAACACATAACCTAATAACTAGGGCTCGGGTCCTCAGAAGAAGAACCTAGCTTAGAATGTCGGGCTTCAGTTGTTGCATCATCATCGGATGCATGTGTGTGGGTGAACGGGGGGAGCATGTGCATGCTCAGCTGATATGTTGTCTACTATGGCAGGAGAAAGGGGAGTTGCTCAGGAAGTGGGTGGCTTCTGGAGAGAGCCTCCAGGCATGTGAGCAACACATCGAGGCTGCTCGAACAAACTTGTTCCGTGGCCGCTCCATCAAAAAGTTGGTGCCAGTCAAAGACATGAGTGCACCTCCTTACGCATTCAGTGCGCTGCTTGATTGCAATATTGCCAATACATGAGATTGATTCTGTAATTGTGAGAGTTCTCACCCTCGTGAGGGCAAAGATCGCCCACATCATCGCCACCCACCAGGGCCATCCGGATCCGGATGCACCGGATGTGTTAGAGGAAACCCGTTATTGGATTACCGTGGAGGAGAGCAGGGAGGACCAGCTAGAGGTTCGGTTTCTCGGTTGCATCAATACAAACATGTGTAAACTGTGAGCTGTGATTCTCCTACAACCCATTTGGCCAGGCATCAGGAGAATCTGCGTGTGAATATGCGACCGACGGCCGACAGTGCAACGCGCATCTTGAATGATCAGAATCTCACACCGTCTATGCTGGGACGAGCAACCAAGCGCCCCGCCCCCATAGCGGGTGATGTGCTACGTGCATACGACAACTTCTCGAACGCAGCGTCCAGTGTGAATGGCAGCGCTGCTTCAGGTTTCTTGATTGGTATACCACGTCATGTGCAGGGAAATTCCTTAGCCTGTTTGGGTGTGCAGCGCATGCGTGTGTCCTAGCTCGTATATGGTCTCTTCGCAATGATAGATATCATATGTAAAGTCTAACAGACCTAAACGCACCCTAAACCAAAGACTGCGAGTACGTGCCGAAAGCCTAAACCCGTCCTCATGTGCAATCCTCTATACAGTTCGACACCCAGTCGGACCCAATCATTGACAAACCTTTTGCCCTCCCTGGCCCTGTATATGTGCATATATATATATATATATGTATATGTATATGTATTTGTATATATATATATATATATATATCCCACTTATTTCGTTCTCCCTGTAGAGTCAAGTCCTCTAGAACATGTGTCGCAGGCTCGCAAGCCCTGGTTCCAGCTGCAGGGCGAGGAGGCGGCAACAAGCGCCGTCGGGCGGGCAGTGCGGCAGGATCGAAGGGGCCTTTGATCGAAGAACACTTCAAGACGGAGGCCGAGAAACACCAGAAATGGAGCATCTCACTTATGTATTTCAAAACTTGAGCTCGATTCTGAAAGCATGGGTCTGGATGGGTTTTAGTCGAAAGGTTTCGGAGGCTTCGGAGGGTCTGATAGATGGGCTCTTTAGGAGGGTTCGGTGGGTTTGGGGAGGCCTTGAGGTTTTTGGGGTTTAGGTGGGCTTCCCGATACAGATTAGGTCGGTAAGTTTCGGTATTTGGGTGGGCTGAAGTAGAAGTGCTTTCAAACAGAAGCGCATAGGAAGCATTGGAAGTAAGTTTGATGGGATTTCGAGTCAGGTTTTTTTAGGCTTCGTGAGGGGTCGGAAAGATTCGAGAGGGTTCAGGGCAAACCCCAAGCTGTAGTGACCAGCCCAGCACCCCAGAATACGGGAAACCCTTTATCAAATCCTACAAAACCTGCATCGCTGAAGCACTGTTTGGCACCACCAGAAACCCCAAGACAAGGCCAATGTTTCACACTTCCAGGCTCTGTCACATGGTCGAGGATCGGGCTTTGGGGCATGGTTGTGTGTAGTTCGTTGTTCAATTTGAAGTAAGAGTTGACTTGTATTGGCATAGCAGTGTGCGTGGCCACAACCATATAAGACACAGAACAGGGACATGAGTTCAGGTTGATGTCTGGGGAGGTGGTCAGTGCAGTAGTCGGTTCATACCTATCAAGTCCGAGCTAGACTCGAACGAGCTAGTGCATTCATGTATTCACGACTGCTTATCGTGCTGTCTGAATGTAAGACCAGAGGTTTACACAGTCAGGATTATCTAATGGAGCAAGGCAGGCATTTCGGATCTAATAGAAATTCAGCCCCGACATGATATCTAATCACCCTTAAACCTTGAGCCCTAATCCCTGGACTCGGAAACTAGGCATTAGGCAGGGTTCTGGAATCCAGCGCAGCATTACTTGGGCTCCAGACATCAAAACATGCTAATGACCAGGACAAAGACTTGCTGGGCCGAACCTTCCTTGATCCTTCGACTGAAGCTCCGAACCACGGAAGCCCACCTAAATTCCAAGGCCCCCTGAAACCTACTGAGCCCTCCTACACCCTTTCACGTTATGCCCACCTAGAGACTAAGCCAACTCAAGCCCCGCCCCCCGCCAAAAAAAAATCTACGAGACAAGTATGTGCCAGCAATATGCTGGCAATGAACATGTTGGGAGTGTCCCCACCTATACATGCATGGTCAGAGACATATCTATACACAAGCATATATACATATATACATATATGTACAGGTATATATGTTTATATTTATGTATGTGTACATACATACATGCATATATACATCCGTACCTATAAGTATCTATGCACATTCACTTATGAATGCACATACGAAGACAGATCTCACACACATTGAGACACGCACACACACACACACACATGCATGTGTGATAACACACACATGTATGTGTGTGCGTGTGTGCATACATATGTATGTGTATATGTGCATCCACACATACATACTTACGTACATACATACACACATACCTGCATACCTACATACCTACATACATACATACATACATACAAGTTGCAAGCAAACTAAACATAAGGAGTGCTGGCACTTCAGGATAACTGGCAAAGTGAGCAAAGGAGTTTGAAGCCTTCCCGGACCTCTAGAGTAAGACTAAGCAAACCCAATACCCATACCCGGTATTATACCCCAAGTGCAAAATCCATGAACCCCTGAACATCCGAGGCAACGAGATGAGAAAGGAAATGGCAGCCATCGTGAACTTGACGGTGGACCTGCCGCAGGATGATGACTTGAAGGCTACGCTCGAAGACGGGCTGCAAGATCTGAAGAATCTGGCCCTGGAGTCACTCTGCTATCTGAATGGTACATGGTCTTACTTTGCTCTGGGGCATGATGTAACATTGTGAGAGGTGAGGCCGTGGTCATTTAAGGTTCAAGAAGGCGCGCACGTTTGAGCAGATGCAGCCGATCTGCGAAAAGATTCATGAGAAGGCCGTGGCATAATTTTGCTGGGCCTGGACTTGCAGGTGATATGGCATTGACTTTTGCACCATGCTACCATCAATGCTACTCTGTGGAGCCTTACAAGTAGTATATGGGACCACGACGCCTAATGCATTGTAGCCTCATACGCTCAAATACTGAAAATGTATATTTACATCAACTTCCGCTTCGTCAGGTGGCCTCCTTGAAGATCGTCAAAGGCAAGGCCAAGGGCCTGATCGCGGAGCTGAAGAAGGACGCATGAGGTGCTGGGTCTCGCAGTGTAGTGCTACTGCTAAGTCCCGAGCCCAAGGTTTTCATGACATGTGCAAGTAGATGCTTATGTGTGCTTGGCTGTGAATATCGGTCCTTTCAAACAGTCTTAGACGGTGATTGTTCTGTATTGCACGCAGGTCCTCGGTGCCTGGACATAATCTGTGAGGTACATGGGCCCCCCGGTGTGCAATTGCAGTCAAGACTCCTGAAGCCTTGTGCCGTGGATCGAGATATGTACTAAGGCTTCAAAGTGATCCAGTCTGGAGTCTTTTGAAGGTCGAGCATCACTGAGCCGCTGGGTTTGGGGGCTTTTGAAGCACTGTCTGATCGGAACCTCATCATCCTTAGGGCATCAGCCAGTGTCTAGATAAAGAGCTGTGGCAGGGTGTTGGGTACATTTTATTCTGGGAATCTAGCAGGAAATGTACTGTAGCCTGTGGCTGATCAACTCAGTTCGCCAAAGATGCTATAGTTGTGCTGGTTATGCCATGGAGGATGGGGATGATCTTGATGGCGAGTGCTCTCAAGAGTGCAGCTGATCACCCAGGTCTTTATGGCTAGAGAAACAGTTTACGAGCCTGTACTGTACCGGGCTGGGAATGTAAGTCTCTGTCGACCTGGGTTGCACTTTACTGTCTGTGCACTGGGCATAGCCCTGTCCGTTTCAGGCATTGGCCTGGCACATGCAGCAAGAAGCCTATCCTGCACTAACCCCATGAAACTTCAAAGCCTTAGCCTCAACCCGGCCACAAGCGAAGCAATGTTTGCTTGAGCCTGTTGTGCCAAACCAAAACCAATCCCACAGCTTCAACAATATCTGTATTAATATTCCGGGCACATTACCCACAATGCCATGATTCACACGCTACCAAGATGACCTCTCATAGAGGCATAGAGGTTTCAGAAATTGCTTTCGGTAACAAACACTAGAAGTTACGGCAAGGTGTTGTAGCTGGATTCCTATACCTGCCATCTGTACTCTGAGATTTTGAACATGGGCCATCGGCCATGCCGCTGGACGGGGACTTGTGCTGGTGAGTGCTCGGCTTGTTCTTTTCGGGGATAGTCTGGCCATGCGATTCGGGTGGCCGAAATCATCTTCTGATAGAGCTTCTGACATGAAGCTATCGATCAATCGTTGCTGCTTACTGTGGCGCTGGACGTAGAAAGAGCTGTCTGTGACGACGCAGAGAAATGTGCAGAGCTGGTGTGTGCAACTTTCACAATACATGTCTTTGCCTAGGTAGCACTGATATGTCTGATATGTCTATGATTTAGGAATGACTAGTGTCTCATCATCCCACGCAGGTGTTGCAACTGCCTCTTCCTCGTCGGTGATTGCGGGCGCCACCAGAGAAGAGCTGGATAGAAAGATTCCTGGGCTTGTCGGTAGGTTTTTTGGGATTACCGGGACCTTGTGACCTAATGTGCAGACACTTGGTTTGGGACATGCCAGGTGTTTGGGGTTGAAGGTGTTTTACAAGGCCAAAAGGCATGTTGCTACGGTCTGTGCTAGTATCGAAGGATCATACAGTCGGTGTGTGATGGCTACGCCACCATCTCTCTGGGATGTGAGCTCGGCACCTTGATGCAAAGTCTATGTATGATGGGAAAGTTTAAAGCACTTGATCCTACTGCAAATGTTCTTCCTGATGTAAAGACTTCGTATACTCAGATGTCCCTGGTTCAGTCTTTGTGTCACAGTACAGCGACAGTGGCCAAGTTTATGGTTATTAGGTATTAGGGACCCGAACTCCAAACCCCTATTCCCCAAACAAGAAAACCCCAGACCCTGAAGCCCTCAACCCGGGCTATGCTCTGTGGCAACCTTCTTCCCAGTAGCTCATATGCAAATAGAAACCTATATTAACACAACTGTGGAAGCCCCGAACTCCAACTCCCTCGAATCTGACTCCAAGCTAGATGCCAATGAAATAGCCAGATAATACAATTTACTGCTGAGTACAACCTTGTCCCAAATTGTGTAGCAAAAAATTTACCCAGCTGGTCCTGACACCAAAACCCTAAACCCTTGAGCCTGAAGCCTACAGGCATTAACCTAGCGATGCATGCCAAACATCCGACCCTCACCTTGACCTTAGGCCTAACACATCACATACACATCCTGTGCACAACCTGTTGCTGCAGCTGCTGCTGTGCCGGTACCAAAGAATTGTGGACTTTGAACCCTTAGGCTCTAGCGACTCCTGAAACTCTTCGAATAGTTAGCTTCAGAAGGACGATCTTGAACAACATCGACACCCCTTTAAGGTAGCATCTACGACTCTGACGTGTTGGCCGGCAGCAGCTC